TTAGGGTTTAGGGATTTAGGGGGCTTAGGGTTTAGGGCTTGGGATTCAGGGTTTCGGGATTTAGGGTCTAGGGTCTAGGGTTTAGGGATTAGGGATTTAGGGATTTAGGGTGATTTAAGGTTTAAGGATTCAGGGTTTGGGGATTCAGGGTTTAGGGATTTAGGGTTTAAGGGCTTGGGGATTGAAAGTGATTTAGGGTTAGGGATTTAAGGACTTAGGGATTTAGGGTTTAAGGTTCTTCTTTAGAGTTGGGGTCGACTCTTTTATGGTTTAGGGTTTAGGGTTTAGGGCTTAGGGTTCTTACAAGAGTTCCTTTAAGGATTCCTATATTCGGGTTTCGATAGGGGCTCCTAATATAAGGGTTTCCTACATGGGTCCCTATGAGGATTCCCTATAAGGTTCCTACAAGGGTGCCGAAAAGAAGAGGTCCCGCACGCGCTCCATTAGGGGCTCCGATATAATGGCCTCCTCAAGCGCTCCGGGTACCCCTCAGAACCTCATGGAACCCCACACCTCAACCTTTCAAGGGCTCCTTTAATGGTTCCTTTAAAGGATCTTAAAAGGTTCCTTTCAGGGCTCCTCTAAGGTTGCCTCGAAGGGCTCCTGAACCCTAAGCTCCTGAACACTAAACCCTAAACCCTAAACCCTAACCCCTAAATCCTAAACCCTAAACCCGAACCCCTAAACCCGAAACCCTAAACCCTTAAACCCCAAAACCACAAAACCCTAAACCCTAAACCCCTAAACCCTAAACCCCCAAAACCCTAAACCCAAACCCCTAAACCCTAAACCCTTAAACCCCAAACCTTCTTCACTCTCTTTAAAAGCTCTCATCTCTCGCGCCTGAAGGTCTGCTCGGCGAGCTCGGCAGGATCCACCACGTCGACGCGGTGGCAGCGTGGCCTCCGCCGGCATGGCAATATAGGGTTTTAGGGATCAGGGTTTAGGGTTTAGGGTTTAGGGTTTAGGGTTTAGGGTTTTAGGGATCAGGGTTTAGGGTTTAGGGTTTTAGGGATCAGGGTTTAGGGTTTACGGTTTAGGATTTAGGGTTTTAGGGATCAGGGTTTAGGGTTTAGGGTTTAGGGTTTAGGCTTTAGGGTTTAGGGTTTAGGGTTTTAGGGATTAGGGTTTAGGGCTCTTACGGCTAAGGGTTGAGGGTCCAGGGCTGAGGCTTTACGGCTAAGGCTTGATGGTTTAGGGCTTGGGCTTTAAGGCTAAGGGTTTAGGGTTTAGGGCTTAGGGTTTAAGGCTTTGGGTTTGGGGCTTAAGGCGAAGGGTTGAGGGTTTAGGTTTAGGGTTTAAGGCGACCTTCTTGAGGCTCTGTCGGGTCTTCTGGGGCTTTGTAGGATTCCAGAGTCTAGAGGGTTAAAAATTTTCGTTGAAGGTTGTCTCGGGTTCCTCGTGTCTCAAGCCTCACGGATGCAGGCGAGTCACCACGGGTCGACAGATGTCGCCTTCTGTTCGGGCTCCCTGCTGCCACCTTCGCGAGGCTACGGGAAAAGGCCAAGAAGCAAACAACCCAACACAGCCATTACAGCCCGAAGTTCAAGCCCATCGCTGCAGCAGGGTCCCAAGAGCTCCCGAAAAGAACGCAGACAGAGCAGCACACACATGTGCATAAGACCGTCCTCCGCCGCACAACTCCTCTACAGTAGTGGCATGCTCAAAACGTAATGAGACACACTAAATGCGGTGTAACTGCTTGTGGCATGGTGCAGGAGCAACTCCATGTGATGCAGCGCAACGGTATGCCCACACAGGGTAGCTTGCAAAAAGGCAGCGATATCGAGCAGAATGCAATGGACGGGTTGTTCGTAGTCGGGCATCTCAGGGTTCGCGGGCTTACGGTTTAGGGCGCGTGGTAGCATGCAGGACACAGTACCTGAAGACTCCGCAGACATAGTTTCAAAGTTGCTTTTCTTGTAAAAACTGTTACAAGTGTAAACTGATGCTCAAGTATAGGCCCATTTAGGTCAACTATCTGTAACCACACTATGCCTATGTCACTGCGTCTGTGTCTGTTTACTGTCATCTCTGGTGATTACTTGTATCATTACTTATCATCTGCTTAGTCCCTCTTAGTCCCACGTAGGGTCATTACTGATCACCACGCTTAAAACTACTTGATCCCCTTTGGAGGAATATATTACCTTACTAGCCCCACTCTCCCTAATGAGCAAAACCGTGTTTCGTTCGGGTGCAGGCTTTGGGGTTGCGGGGTTTTGAATTTTTGTGGTTGGTGTTTAGGGTTTAGGGTTTAGGGTTTTAAAGGATTCTAGGTTGAGGGATGAACAACTCATCCAAACATAGCCACAATCCAAGGGCATGTTGTCGGTGAAACAGAAGCAGTAGACAGGGATAAATACCGTGATATGTTTGTTCCTAAACCCTAAACCCTAAACCCTAAACCCTAAACCCTAAACCCTAAACCCTCAAAATGCCCCGAACAGAAACCCTGCAACCGACAACCTCGTCAATCTGGGCTTGGGCTCAGGCTGGGGGCTTTAGGAGTTCGTCATGTCAACCATCTTCTTTAGGGTTTAGGGTTTAGGGTTTAGGGTTTGGGGTTTAGGGTTTAGGGTTTAGGGTTTAGGGTTTGGGGTTTAGGGTTTAGGTATCACATTACTACGATTTTCCCCACTGATACCATCACCGTCGTCATCATTCTGACGAGCTAGACTCCTATTACTCCTATTCCTATGATCGTTACAACCATTCATGTGTTGAATTTTGTTACAACTAATGTTAGCAGAATCTGCATTCTCATCATTACCATCATGGTTCTCTTTAGATGCCACCCTTAACTGTATGATGCGCATTGGCATCATTGCCTTTACTATGAATATGAACAGAACTATCTGTGGATGCCACTACCATAGTGTCACCTTCATCATTACCATGCTCACCGACCACAGCTCTGCCAGCAAGGATAGCCCATGACAATAGTAAATAAAAGGAAGGATCCGAATCTTGAAACTGCGAAATCTGCAGGAAGCCTCGTCCATTGGCTTCAGAAGGCTTTGCCTCTGCCACGAACTTAGCCAGCTGGTACTCTGGCCAAACACCTAAACAGACAGGATCTCCGATCTTCCCGTACTTGGGGGATCATAGGACTTAGGAACTAGGGCCATACGTAAGGAAACTATAGCTAGAATCACCTACAACCGCAAAAAAAATGTTGGTACTGATAACCATACTTACTAAGACCAAGTAGAGGGCTTTGAGATGAAACTTCGAAGAAGCCCAAGAGCGGGTCGGAGCTCAGCAACATGCGATTTAGGGTTTTTGGGTTTAGGGTTTAGGGTTTTTGGGTTTAGGGTTTAGGGTTTTAGGGCTTAGGGTTTTGGGTTTTTGGGCTTTTGAGTAAAAAATGTGACTACCGAAAGCTTCGACTTTGAGCCCAAAGACCCGTACTGGCTGCCGAGGTTGCAGCCATACCGTTACATGGTGCTCGAAAGTCCCGAAAAGGAAGTAAAACAACAACTTTCGGATGCTTGTCCCACCAGAAACCTGCTTCAGCGCCCTATGGCGCCAGAGGTCGTTTATTTTGAACCCTCCCGACAAGCACGGAAATTATTGCTTGAACAGCGACACCCGGCCTATGTACATCAATGGGTGGAGCCACAGCCGCCATAAGGCGTGCAGCTCAACATGGCCACAGGAACACTGGGCGGTGCGATTTCGAGAAATGGTGGCGGATCTTTGGGTCTGGTGGCTCTAGTAAAGCAAGTTGAAACGAAGCAGCTTGTGCAATGCCCCTTTGAGGTCATTGCTTTATAAGCTCAGATAAGACTGTTATAGAGTTTATAACTTATAAGATATGATATGATCATAATATGAGAGCACTGCGTTCCCTCAAGGGCTCAATTTTTGGTTTCCTCTAAGGGCAACCTCTGCTTTGGGTTGAGTAGAGGGTTCGGGTGGAATCCTTGCACGTGAACCCGGGGGGCAGCTTGAGCCACGATCGGAATTGCCAGATTCTTTAGTCTGGTGTAGTGAGCAGACCCATCGCGCACAGTTTTGATGGCCTGACGTTCTAGAGCACATTGGGCCAATCATAGAAGATTGACGCTTTGGCTTGATTCCTTTCCGGTGAAATTGTGTTCGACATAACGTCAAGAAAAGTTCCACAGTGGTTCCGCAAAATGCCCGGAGCTCTAAGCCCCAAGGCCCTATGTACGCCATACTAAGATTTGGAGTAACCCTAAGCCCCAAAACCCAAAACCCAAAACCCTAAACCCTAAACCCTAGAAGATTTAAGGAGTAACCCTAAGCCCCAAAACCCTAAA